GTATTAAATGGCTCTTTTTCTTTGGAATTGGTCAGTGAGAAATACTGGAAAGTAAACAAACCCATGGAACTTTATTACGCACCCACAAAGGAGCACAAATAAGCCTTTAAAACCATTCTGAGACTGAACTTTTTTATAGCTTATTTCTTTAATATTAAAGATGTACTGTCATTACTTTTATGGACAGATCTTGGATATGTTGTTCAGTTTTCTTTCTGAGCCAGACTTGTTTACACTATTCAGATCTTTTTCTCTTAATTTAAGATAGCCTCTATGGAAGGGACTGCAGTTATTCAGTACCTTTTGTTCCTTTAAAAAATAATTATCTAAGTTGTATTCACGAAGTGTGGTTCCATTGGAGTACCTTTTGGACCCAGGAATTTTTCATAGTTCTGTATTCTTTAGAACAGAATTGGTTCGGTTGGCCATCCTTTTCCCTGTCCCCTCAAAAGTTTTTTAGGCTTAAAGAATGTTAAATAATATGTATTCTGACTTTTTTTCCCTGGAGTCATGTATATTTATAGTTTTCTATATAAACTGTAGTATCTTCATGAAGAAAGACCAAGGCTCAAATTTACTGTGCTAAACAATTCTCATAGGATTGTCCCTTTCATGGTATTTTCCTCCATAATATCTCATTTTAAAAAAGGTTCTTTATGAACTTAGTGTCCATTGTCATGCAATGTTATTTTTTTTTTTCCATTCTTTTTCCCTATAATTTTGGAATTTTTGGTCTTGGAAAGAATCAAACAAAATCTTAAGTTCTGTGAGAACTTAATTCATTGACAGATTTTGCTAAAGAAAGAGAAATTAAATTGGTAGTAATATGTAGTCCTCAAATGTATATTTAGGAGTGCTTTTTTTGTATTCTGCTGTCACTTCAGTTCCTTTATTATGCATTTGATGTTTTTCCTATTAAAATACCAGAGATAAGGAGATATTTTGCACTTTAGCCTTGATGAAAGTACAAGATATGTTCAAAGCTTCCCTGATTCTTTTCTTACTGACAGCCACATGAGTTTCAAGAATAACATGGCACACGGAACAGTGGAGAAAAGTTTGCTTCCATCTGAAAAGTGTGTTTAGCATTTTGTGTTGCTATATCAGTTTATAAACCTGGTGCTCTGCTAATTACACTCCAGAAGCAGGTTAATGGAGCTTGAGCCCTGCCTTGATAGGTAGTGAAAGATAATTCTATAGAAGAATGCCAGTCGAAGGGTAAAATCACTGGACTCTTAATTTTTATATTTGAGAGACAGTGTTGGATGTTTGGGAAGCAGAAGGCTGTATGCTGACAGGTCAGAAATAAGATCAACCTGTGTGTTAATTTTTGTCCTTGTCCTGATTCTAGGTGTGTTTCCAAGTTTATATTATCACAGTATTTAAAAATACATGTTTGCATTGAAAAAGTAGCCCCAAAGCATTTTAGATAGGAGGGAGTAGAGCTTCAGTACCATTGTAACTAAAGTCTGTCCAGTCATTGTAAATATATCTGTCAGTTTTGACAGATTGGGGCCAGCTGATGTTTTAAATCTTTAAGCCCAATATGAAAACTTAAAAGCTTACTCAATTTTTTACCGTTTTATTGAAAATATTTACAATCTGTTTTTACAGGTTTTTTTGTAATCCGTGCCATGACATTTGAAAACCACCAAAAGTCAAGGGAACTTTTATATTCAATTCCTTTTCTGGTGTAATGTTAAGTTGTATAGATTAATGCATGCCCACTGAATATAACCCTGGTTTTGTGATAAAACTGCTTAGATTTTGTTGGTGACATTAGATTAGTGGTTGCATTAAATAACTACATTCCCTTTGTGATTACTGAAATTTTGTCCTTAAGCAAAGAGTTATTTGTGAATATAAGCTTTGTGTTTAGAGAATGTATGTGTTTCTATCTGTCAGTATGGGAGGATATAAACTGCATCATTAGTGAAGTCAGTGGATGTGTAATCCTTTGTGAAATGCAATTAGAGGTATTATTTGATTAGACCATTGTGTGAGAGAGAAAGTGTGTGTGTGTGTGTGTGTGTGTGTGTGTGTGTTTTGGAGGACAATATTTCATAAAATATTATCTAAGTAATTTCTAAACACTTTCTCACTTGAACAAAAGGTTCACCAAATGTGAAAGCTTTTGGATGATATACTATTGTTTCTAAATTTTTTATTGTAGCAGACACAACCAAATTTGCCATTTTTAAGTGTTCAGTTCAGTGGCATCAGGTATCCTCAGTAGTTTGTGTGCTGATCCCCATTATCTGCTTCCAATACTTAGTTTTTCCTATTCTCAAATAGAAACTCTACATGCAGTAAACAATAACTCCCAGTTTACTCCTTTCCCTGGCCCATGGTAACCTGCATTCTTTCTCTTTGAGTAGCTTAGATGCCTCATACATATGCAATCACAAATTGTTTTCAAAGTTCATGCATCTAATAGCCTGTATTGGAATTTCATTCATTTTTATGGCTGACTAGTATCATTATATGTGTGTATACACACATACACCATTTTATTGATTCATTCATCAGTTGCTGAACACTTAGTTTGATGGACACATTTTGCTTTTGTAAATAGTACTTCAGTGAACATCACCGTATGAGTATTTGAGCTTCTGCGTTTTGTTCTTTTGGATATACACTGTAGTGGCAATGCTGGATCATATAATTCTGTGGGGTTTTAAATTATTTTTGAGACAGAGTTCGCTTTGTCAGCCAGCTGGAGTGCAGAGGTGTCTTCGTTCCTCACTGCAGTGTCCAGCTCCTCTGCTCAGGTACTCCTGCCTCAACCTCCCGAGTAGCTGGGACTCCAGCTGTGTCCTACCATGTCTAGCTAATTTTATTTTTTGTAGGAATAGGGTATTCATTTTTGATTGGGTTGTGCTGTTGAATTGTAGGTGTTCTTTATATATTCTGGCCATTAATCCATTAATAGATATATGATTTGAAAATGTTTCTCCTGTAGATTCTCTTTCTTGATAGTGTTCTTTGACTTAATTTTAATTTTGACAAAATATAGTGTATCTGTTTTTTTTCTTTGGGCTGTGCTTTTGGCATCGTGTTTAAGAAGTCATTGCCAAATCCACTGTCAGGAAGATTTTCTTATTCTAAGAGTGTTAGCTCTTACCTAGTTTGATCAATTTTTAGTTTCGTATATGATGAAAGGTCAGAGTCCAATTTTATTTTTATTTGGATATCCAGTTTTCTCACCCCTTTCTGCACTGAATAACCTTGGCACCCTTGCACCCTTGTCCTAAATCAGTTTAGCATATATCAGGGTTTATTTTTGGGCCTTGGAATCATCTTCTGTATGTATGCTAATCTTAGCAGAATTTTAAGAAAATACTAGTATACATTTGTTAACTGTGAAAACAACTTCATTAAGTACTCGTCATTTATAATAAGGATTTCTGAAAATCTGTTATAAAAGCAACAAGAACAATTGTCCTTTTTCAGGACTCTAAAATTAAGTTATCAGCAATCAAAAGAACATTAATTTGCATAAAACCATAACAGTTTTATAGTATTTTAAGTTACCCAATTCCCCTTTCCAAGCCCCAGAATAACCTTGAAAGTGAATAGTCTCGGGTGGCACCTGTGGCTCAAAGGAGTGGGGCGCTGGCCCCATATGCCGGAGGTGGTGGGTTCAAACCTAGCCCCAGCCAAAAACTGCAAAAAAAAAAAAAAAAAAAAGAAAGAAAGAGAGTGAATAGTCTCACAATTATGGTAACTGTGAAAACGAGTAGCCTACCAGTCATTGCAGATGATAGGAAGCTCCCCCCCCCCAATAAAAAGTTCAAAGCTTCCCAAGAAACTATTTTTATTTATTTATTTATTGAGACAGAGTCTCACTATGTTGCCCTCGGTAGAGTGCTGTGGCATCCCAGCTCACAGCAACCTCAACCTTCCTAATGCCTCTGAGTGCCGCGACCTTTTAATACAGTTCTTCATGTTGTGGTGACCCCCAACCATAAAGTTATTTTCGTTGCTACTTCATAACTGTAATTTTGCTACTGTTATGAATCATAAAGTAAATATCTGATATGTAGGATGTATTTTCATTGTTAATAAGGGGTCACGACCCACAGGTTGAGAACCGCTGGCTTAAGCAATTCTCTTGCCTCAGCCTCCCAAGTAGTTGGGACTACAGGCACCTGCCACAATGCCTGCCTATTTTTTGTTGCAGTTGTCATTGTTTAGCTGGCCCAGGCTGGGTTTGAACCCGCTACCCTCCATGTTATGTGGCTGGCACTGTAACCACTGTGTTATGGGTGCCAAGCCCAGAAACTATCTTTAAATGCCCTAAAAATCTCACTCCAGAGAATTTTCACTGTTTGACCTGTCTGGCACCTCCCTGAAAAGCTCTATCTTCAGAGCTTGTCTTTATTTTGAAGGCAGTTGGGGCTAAAAAGGCTGTCCAGAAGAGAAAAGATGAGGAAAGATAGGTTTGTTGAGGACTTTGGAAAGTTTCAGCATATTCCTAGGAATCTAGAAGGCCATAGACATAGGCAAAGCTCTAAGAAGGCACTGATCCCACCTGTGGTATACCTTGAGGCTTTGTGCAGGTGGAAAGTTAAGGCTACATACTTCATGCTGTAGTGTTGAAGGCATTTCCCAATACAAAGAGCACTTACTAGCTATCTGGTTACAGCTGACCAGCAAGCTAATGAAGCAGACACTTCAGTGGTCACATACGTCAAAGAATATATGCTTTACAGAATTGAATTAATCCAGGAAAGTCACTAAACATAACAAACACTGGGGCTCGGCGCCTGTGGCTCAAGCGGCTAAGGCGCCAGCCACATATACCTAAGGTGGCGGGTTTGAATCCCCAGCCCGGACCCACCAAACAACAATGATGGCTGCAACCAAAAAATGGCCGGGCGTTGTGGCGGGCGCCTGTAGTCCCAGCTACTTGGGAGGCTGAGGCAGGAGACTCGCTTGAGCCCAGGAGTTGGAGGTTGCTGTGAGCGTGATGCCATGGCACTCTACCCAGGGCAATAGCTTGAGGCTCCGTCTCAAAAAAAAAAAAAAAACAAACACTGGGGAGGTGAAGGGGTTCTCATTTCTAGTTGCCACATTGTATTACGGTAGTCTACCCTTTGTGGTTTTGCCTTCTGTGGTTTCAACTACCTGCAGTCAACCATGACCTGAAGATAGTCAATGGAAAAGAGAGATGAACAACTAAGTTT